CTATCCAAGTTCCTGGTCTGAATATCATTAATGCCGGTCCTGGACCTGCCACGGAAGTGCTCTGTTTGATGAACATGGTCACCGCTGAGGAACTGAAAGACAACGATGAATATGAAGGTTGGTTATGGTTGTTATTGTTTATTAAGTGGTCATTTTGATGATCAGATATACTGGAAGATATACGTGAGGAATGTACGAAGTATGGTGCCGTGAAATCCGTTGAAATTCCAAGGCCCATCGAAGGACTTGATGTACCTGGTGTTGGAAAGGTAAATTATTTTTGGGTTTATTTTGATGTGTACATGTGGAATTAAAGGTTTTTGTCGAATTTTCAAACGTGGCAGAATGCCAACGAGCTCAGCAGGGGCTGACTGGAAGAAAGTTCGCCAATCGTGTCGTCGTTACTTCGTACTTTGATCCAGATTTGTATCATCGTCGCCAGTTTTAGTCCTTTTTTGTTGTTTATGAATTTTTATGTAAGTCATTAATTAATTAAACTGTTCTTATCGAGTACACACTTCCTCTTTGTGGTCCTTTCATGAAATTGCCGAATTGTATATTTATTACATGATGTCTGTGGTATCCACCTTTGAGAAGATTTGTTATAGTTTATGAGAAATGAATTAAGAGACTTAATCTCTTGCGACGGCACATGTTTGTGGAGGTCGACATTCGTAAATTACATTTGCAATTTGCTCTAATATGAAAACTTGAGTAATCCCGTTGCACAAAAGAACGATTGGTTTCGTTTGCCGTGAAACTTCTTTGCTCCCTGATATATGGTTATGTCACAACAACCTGTTTCAGAGCCGCCACTTTTGACCTACGGTACAGTTTCTTCAGTAAACCTTTTTATTCTTCCCAGAACAGTAACTTAAGTGATTGGAAAGCACGACGAGATGATGCCTCGTCTATAGTCGAGCAGTTTTATCCGATGTTTGTCCTTTTATTGCCTTACTGTGGTTTTGTTGCATACCTCGCTTTGCATCCAAATTACATGTAATTTTTATCTCTTGACCTGGAAATGTAGTAGTTCACAATCCATGGTATCTTGAAATGTTGTACTTCGAACCTCATCAGACCTCTTCATCCCAACATTCTTTCAAAAGGAACATGTCTCGACCCTCTTATGTCCGTTATCATCGTACTTATGACCATAATAGAGTGAGATGAAACCTTGAAGACTGGTGGCCTTGCATTGCCTGTTAGCTTCTTCCTCTCTTCAGATCGGTTATTCCCCGCATTACATCCATCACACTGCTGACCCTTATATCTGTAATTACGACCTGTCGGGCATCTGCTTTAGTTGTGTTTCATTTACGTATAGACCGGACTGATTTGCCCTTCTCGATGCAAATAATGCATCTTCTTAATTAAAATATTAAGTATTTGATTGCTTTATACAGATAAAGTCAGATATTAATTTCTGTTCTTGACCCTACACCCCAGATGACAACAACAACTGCCATACCGAAAAAAATTCAGACAGACGGTTATGATATGCTCGAAGAAAATTGCTGCGTACACTGCAGCATTGATGAACAAATGTAGCCCTCTTTCTCTTCATTGTAACAGACAAATAATGCCAAACGTTTTTAACAAATGCCAACATCTGGAGGTACAGTCATCTGCGGCATGCTGATTTGCTGAGTTTGTTTCACGAGCCCCAATTTTATGCATTGAACATGTTGAACCGGCTAGGATCTGGCAGTTTTATATTCTGCTTTGTATGATCTCTTTCAGTGTTGAATACTTATGACACGTTTTTTGACTTGGTAAGGCGATTGGTTCAGAAAGTTTTCTTTTGTTGCCCTCTATTAAATTTTTATCTTCCTCTACAGATTAAAGCTATTTTGACTAAATCAATTATTTCTCTGAACTTTATTCCCTTTTTAACCGCTTGGTATTTTGCTGCCACGGGCAGTTCCGATTAATTCCTAGCATTAACAGGCCTGGAGTCCTTAAATATTAGTATTCATTATCAGTTTTTGTCTTAAAAAGCAGACAGCCACTGCATCTGATTGCCCACTTCTATCAGATGCGTGGACGGTACTTTTTTATTTGCCATGTTCATCTTTGTTCGTCCCTCCAACCAAATTTTTTTAGGTTGCCACTAATACTACCTTTCTTGAAGATGCTGCAGCGTCATCACTAGGAATAAAGTTATGCTCTGAACGTTTCAAATATTATAATCTGCAGGTATAAATGTTGAACGTATTTTCCTATATTACGAGGTTCCACCAGTAATGAATTATCTGCCTTTTATATGTATCCACTTCCGTTCATTCTAGTTATGTCAATGCGGTATTTGGTCTCTCATTACTGAAGAATTAGGCCATCCCGTTACGTGTTTCTGTGAAATGCATTTTCAGAGATAATGACGTATACACGGGCACAACTGAATTATAAACGCGTTGTGAGGACAGTAATATCGCTCGCTTATTTATGCATGTCGCGGTTTAGTCTAACTGCCGCTAATAAAGCAGCCCGTACATTCGGTCTTCTGTTACACGAAGCACCCTCTGCAGCACGGGCCAAAGCCTATTTGAAGGTAGTGTCAGTCATAAGGTACTTAACCTGTCAATTAATTGATTGTTGAAGTAGATCATTCCTTAGGGTTAAACCCATGAAAGCATGGTGTCTATTTTCTATTTTTATTTTCCCTCACTGATGACTGTTATTTTATCAATGACGCATACATTTCGATAACAGATTTTCCGTATAAGTAATGTCACCTTTTTGTAAGTAACTCATTAAAACAACTTTTCTATATGAGAAAAACATTTATTTGAAGAATCATATATGACTGGCAGGTGCATCTGTTAACCATTCACATGATCAACTCTGAATACAGTCGTCCAATATAGCAAGTTCGAGATGGCCTAAACACCTCATGACGGATCAGCAACGAAAAAGATTCATTTTTTTCAGGTATTAAGAAAAAGCATGTGTTTAGTCGATCCAGGAGGAATTTAGTTCAGTGCTGACCGTAGCCTTTGTTGCAGTCCGATAAGAACAAGAAGAAGAACTAAAGGAGCGGCATAATCATGAAGCAAAGACGTTTTTTCGAAACCTCGACATTCCGTTAGCCTCAAAACATGCAGTGATTATTTTTCAGAGCATGCAACGTTTCTTCCCAAATGCTCTTCGTATATTAATTTCAGTTAATTAATAAAAGTGCCCCACACCGATTCAGAGAGATGATGACAGATAATGACATAGGCACATCTCGGGCTTCTAAACTTTTTCGTATTTACTATCAGTATGTAGAATCAATATCTTCTAACTTCCGCCGTTCCAGGTTTCAAGTCTGTATGAAAAGGAAGGAGAGTTGTGGACTATGGCGAGATTCTCAGTAAAACTTACCTGCCCTATGTGGTAGTTCTGTCATCATGCTGGCTCGATCGTCGGTCGGATTAACAAAGGTAGCATAGTTTGTGAAACAAAGTCAGCGATCACAATCTGCTTCTCGTCTTCTTGCAGCACAACAGCGGCTGAGAAAATCGGCAAAACCACGACGAAGATACCGATCACCATCGGAGTCGCTACCCGTTCCGAACGCCGGAGGAATACAGCGCAATGCCATTATAGCATGTCAGAAAAGGTTCCAAGGGAACGACACCGCCAGTGGGCTCTTACAGTTGGAAATTTGAATATATCTTCACTCAGAGGGAAAGAACAAGAGTTAGTTGATGAGGCCATAAAGTACCAACTCGACATTATTGGACTCTGGTCAACGAAACGCCAAGGCTATGGAATTCTGAATCTATACGGGTAGAAGCTCTTCTACTCAGGTGTCGACATTGCGATGCTCGCTTTTGCCGG